AGATCAGAAGTGCTTGAATAAAGACAACGTTAACTTCTACAGCATTGACAGAAAGTCATGATCACGTATGTCTGAATAAAATTCAGAAATTCTATCAACTTTTTGTTAACTGCTTTACATTTTCACAGTTCTAAATAATTATGCTTTCTAGACTCTTTCCTAGATAGGCAATTCTGTTAGAATAATAATTACATAAACAGTCTTCTCACTAAATTCCCTTTCAATAATCTATTGTTTTAAAATATATTGGTCAAATTTTCTTTCATTACTTTCAACAGAAGACCAAATAAAATTCGAGCAAAATATTTATGCTCCTTCTTGGAAGTTTCTGTCTATACATAATTGGAAACTTCTGGACAACCTCAATTATCCAAAAACATTTGTACAGAGTCAACACGGTAAAACAGGAAATGTTTTTTTTAATACAAAATTCGGAAAGGGAAAGTGCCAAAATTCAATAGGGAATACCATTTGTGCATTATAGCAACATGGTACAGGATATGCAGAACACTGTGATCCATGCTGAAAGTTTTAAAATTTATGATTAAATAAATGTGTCTGGTCCTTCAAAATAGGAAGGACCAGATACATTTTTCACTTCAGACACCATGACACCATGTCACCAAATAATGTCTGGAAGATCCTTATTAACATGTTTATATAGGACCAGAGACAAATAGACCTTTTATAGATGAGAAGAAAGGAGGATGGAGAAACATCATCTCATTCTCTTCTAGTCTCACAAGGAAGTTTGGATCACACAGCCTGCAGGCCACAACACACACATCTGACATCATTCTCAACCTCACAACAATTCCCTACAAACACCAGTGAAGCTGTAGGAAAAACACTTTAACTTTTACTCAAATTCGATGAAACAAGAAATACAGGGTTCCTAAAAATCTGCCTTTCTTCCAAGGGAAAGCACACAACAAAATACTCCCTCATACCCAGTAATAGTCTAAGTAAACTATGGTTGTGCACAGCAAAGCCAGGAGGAAGGACAAGTGTGCAGGCTATGTGAAAAGATATCAGAGGAAAAGGGGAAGAGAACGTTAAGAGAAGAGATACTGATGAGTATTAAAGAGTGATGTAAAGGGGAGTAGCACAGCAATAACTCTGTCACCACCTCTGCCATAATCATCTCCTATGGTCTTGGGAAAAAATTCTTACACTTTTCTTGGTCTCCATCTGCAGAATGCTGCTATTTCCCTGTTTGACACAGATACTGCCAAGCACTCAGACGCAAAATTTCTACAGAAAGACATGCACTTCCACTAAATAGCATGCAATTCTTTTTAACTTCTCATTTATAACAGTTTGAATGAACCACTTTAAATGAGACACAGGGCTACAAATGAACAGTGAATATAAACCTAAGTATTAAATGACTGCTTCCTTTACTAAGTTCTGTCATTCCTGTGCAAGGAATGAAGCAGGGGTCCTGTGGAAACAAAATAGAATCTAAATCTATAATTAAATACATATGCACAATAGGAAAAAAATTAAAGAGCATGAAGAACATTAATTTGGGCATTTCCTAATTCCTTACTCTTTCATTTTACAGTTACAAATTAGTCGTCCTACCACTTCTTACACAGAAAAAATTCGTTTCAAAAATAGGTATTTTGGAATGCAGAGTAATTTTGAGGAGAAACAGGACACGTCACTGAGTAACTTCAACAGTGAATGAGACAGAAACCTCATATGTTATTCTATACGCATCCTTTCCTATGTATGTATATTGACCCTGTTTTACAAACCTCTGTAGATAGATATATCAGGACTGAAATACCATGCACATGCATCAATCCAATAGAATAATGAGAATCATCTATTCATCAGAAGTTTCCACTCAGATTAAATGCTTTCATTCTCCAAGCCAATGAAATATTAGAGGTTGGTTAGTTTAACTGTGCAGTATATCCCATTCACAAAATGAAACTGCAAAAAACCCCAAAGTTTCACTGAAGCAGACTAGCAATCAAGGAGACCCTTCCTTGTAAATACCAAGCTTTCATCACCTTCAATTGAAATGCCAGAGCTCTGCAGGAGAACAGCCAAAATCTCAGCTACCTGAAAAGCTACGTTTCCTCCAATCTGTTTCTTGTTGTGGGTTTTAGTTTTTAATGGCTTATCCATATCTTATAAAATTTTCAGGAAACGGCATTTGTTCCTTGCCTTGACTCACTGGTACCAAGTTTCAGCTAAAATGACAAACTGAGCAAATTTTAAGAATCTGAAATAACCCATGGAAAAACTGGAGTGGCTTTAGTACAGGCACTGCAACTTATCATCTCTGAAAATAAAAAAGTGTTTACAAAGTTCAGCATAAAGTTTAAAACATAAACATAAAATTTTACTCTAGTTCATTATTAGAAATAATGGAATATTAAGAACAAAGCATAGTGATGGCTAACTGCAATCTGTCATCAGAGAATCTAAATTCAGTCTTGTGCACTAGAATGCTGCTCCTGCTACAGAAATGCATTTAGATCTAACAATCTAAAGATGTTTCCTAATTTTGCCACTCATATGTGTGTGTGTATTATTAGCAACAGGAGTCGGTTTTCCAAATAGGGCATGTGAATTTATCTTTTCTGGTTTAAGGAAGAACAAATACTTTAAAAAAACATACTGAAAAAGTGCTTTTTGTTGCTTTAAGTGCATATTTTCTGATATGACATTCTGTCGCATGGTTGCACTTTTAAACTGTCAAATGATCAGAATAAGAATTTCCACGCATTTTGGATAAGCAGTAAATAAACAAGTTTAGAACAGGGACTTAAAAGCAATAAGCACAAGTAAAACATAATACAGATGTTAAAAATATAACAAAAATAAATTATCTCAGAAGACCCAAATTACTTCTGCTGCTATTGTACCTGGAGGCATCTCTATCACAACAAGCCTAAGCTAATGAGAGGCACTAGCTAGAAAACAAATACAAAAATTACTTCAGTAGTATGTATTTTAAACCCCGAAAATCTGCGATCAGTGAAAGAACTCAATCTACAGGTGTAGGATCTCTCCTCTCTGGCTATTAAGAAGTTAAAAATAAAAATGCTGAGTGAACTTAACTGGAGGGCCCTGAAGTCACAGTTTAGACCTCTTTCCTATTCCTCTTCTGTAAAAATGAAAATACTTAGAGCTGCAGTGAATGCTTTTGGTCTTTTAAAGGCAATAAGGAAGGTAGGTAGCTACAGGCAACTTAAAAATCCCTATACATGTGTAGTGACTTGTTTTTATACATTTTTAAATGTAATGCTCCCTTATCTTTCCATCAAATACTGTAATAGGCTGCTTTTGTTGAATATTTCTAGCAGCCTATCGTACACAGTGCATCAGGAGCTGGATGGCCTGAGGCCAGGAAGGAAGATGTGGAACACGTCTTCACAGGTCAATTTCCACTCACCAAGTGCTCAAGTATTTGAAAGAAGATCATGTTACAGCACAGATTTACATAGCAGACAAATTACATGACTGCCCATTCTCAGCATTTCATAATTTCAATAAAAAATTAGGTCAAATGAAAGGGGGGGGGAGAATAACCCTATCCTTTCACAGTAGTCAGAAAATTAAACAAAAAAAAGTACTTATCTGTGCTTCTTGCCAAAACGTTGGTAAAAATCTGTATTGACAGTAAACACACATTTAAAGTATTTGATTTAGCATTCCTTTACAAAATCCTTTTCTTTTTTAATGCCTCAGAATAACCATAAACAAATCCAAAATGTGTTGTATTGCTCTTTTAAAACACTATTTTTATTACCATTAGTCCAAAACATATATATTTTTACAAACATGCAGATTATCAAGGAATGTGTTATTAATTTCAAGAGCTTTCACCCACCGTCTGATAGTCTAGTAGGAGTGTTAAGAGAGGGAACTGCTCTTTGTATCATCTGTCTGGATGAAAAGAATAATAATTTGGAATAGCTTTTTCCCCCCTCAGAGCCTGAAATATAGTGCACTTTAAAAAGGGCAGTATTGGCCAGCCTCAGCACTGCCTGACATTATGTTTATACTAGACGGAGACTAAAATTACAATGTTCATATCTGGCATTCTTTGAGCACAAATTGGCAAAGTAATTAATTTTAAAAGATTTTTTTTTAGAAAACGATACTATGGCATTTTCAGGATAACAACAAAATACTTTCCAAGAGCAGTTAAGGATATGATAAAGTGAAACAACAACTTTAAAAGTATTTAGGTATGTATCCATCTATCTATATTTCTCTTAGCTTACAAGACTAATACTTGCACACAAATTCCTACCAATGTCATATAGTGTACAGTTAAAATATGCTAATCATTATTCTAGATGGCTTTCAGGATTTGTTTCAACACAGTCAAGCAGTTGTAGGGTTTAGACTGGCATATAGCTGATACTCTTATTAAGCAAGCAAGCAAGATTAAAAATTAACAGACAAATGACTGCCTTCAATAATTTCAATTATTACTTAACATTATTTCAGTTTCTAAAAATTACAAATATGAAATCTGTTTTACTCACAGCAGTAAGAAAACATTTTAAGCTGATGTATTTTTAAAAAGGATTGTAGTTTTAAGGAACTCTTGAACAATTTTTTGAAGACAAATTCACTGTGTTAGCTAGATTTTCATGTGCATTTGATACCTATTCAACAAGCAAAAAGAGGAAACAGAACTTTTTGTTGAATCTGACATTTCCTCTATTTACCAAGACAAAATCTGAGGGACGAATTTTAACCAAAAGCTTCAGCTTAGTATGTTGTAGCCCTGCAGCTGAAAATTCAGATGAAAAATGTGAGAGTTTTTTTCTATGACACAAAAGGAACTTTTGGGAACATTTCTGAAGGATACCAGAAAGCTTGTCTAACACACAATGGTTCCTACTCAGCACAGCCCTCCAAACAAAGAGTAACAGATGCACAACTGGTAATAATAACAAAACGTCTCCTCCCTCTGTTAGTCAAGAGAGGACAGCTAAGGACAAATACAGTTTCAGGGTACTTACCTACTCGGAAGTTAGTGGCTGTGAGAGTGTCAGCAGCATGGCCGTTCTCACTAATGAGGGTGGTGGTATTTCCCTTCTCACAGTTGTTCTGACAGTTGCCTTTGGTACAAGTCACTTTACAGATGCTGGGTGTAAAGACCACCTTGATGCGACCAGTGTGATTTCCCACTGTCAGCGGAGGCAAAGAAAAAAAGAAAAATAAACAGATCACTTTGGTATCCATTGATTTCCTTCAAAAAGTTTTGGGGAAAAAAAAAAAAGGCGGGGGGGGGGAGAAAAAGGCGACAAGTCTACAGGAGGAGGGCAGTCTGCAGTGCTCTCTCTCATAGATCTCCAGTGGTGTCTCTGAAACAGGAGTAGGAAGCTTAGCAAACAGAACTCCGGGATCCGCTCCAAAACCACATTTAAAGTCAAGTCACTGGAGTGGGATTAGTAATCACAATGCTGCACTTTATTCACAGGCAGACAAAGAGCAATACCAAGGGCATGACAGCTTAAATAGCCAACCCTGACAGGCAGATGTAATGTAAAGAGGCTGGCTGTGCACCTAGGGGTGAATAAACTCTTGTGTCCTCCTGCATACTTTTCCTGTTTCTGCACTTATTAAGTCACTATTTGTAGCTCGACCCCTGGAAATGTTTTAGGCATGCGGCATGTCTGAAAACATCTGTCTCAAATCTCCTGGCACCCCAGCCCGAAGTGGTCAAACCTTGTGACGCAGCTGCCTGGACCCATTTTTTCTCAATTTTTGGCACTATTTTTCCACAAGGATTTACATATTATAGACTGAGCTTTGCTGTCAGCCTTTATTTAAGTAATAAATAGCTCAGGGAAAAGGGTGATTAAGTATCAATATTTGAAAATACCGGTTCTGAACTTTATGATAAAAAATGGCTAGATTCTCTTTTTTTATATACTTCCTTACAGTCCTTTTAAAAACTTGACCATAATGAAGACTGAGCTAACACTACTTTTTAAATTAAGCTCATTAGAAGAACTTCTTGTTACAGAATTTGAGTTAAAAACAGATGTATTAGATTCCACATCTAACAGCTAAAGACAAAAAAGAGATTAAAACTACTCATTAGGAAAATTAGGGAAAAAGAACAGATTCCATTCGCAATTATTTAAAAAGAAAACAGTTTGTTCTCTGCACATTTACTAATAAAGTCAGCAAGTTCTTGTAAATATATCACAGCATCTTAGTGGAAACTATTCATGAATACTTCCATATCAAACTGAACAATCCCAAGAAATGACGCACAGAAAAAGAAGACTCTCCTTCCTCATGTCATAGAAATAAAAAAGTTGCTGGATAGTTGTCTAACCTAGTTTATGAAATACCCTCTGGACAAACATTTTTTTGAAAATCTCAAGAAAATGAAGAAAATATTCCCACTTCAAAAGAATATAAAGCCTTCTTATTTCTGGCTCTTCATAAACAAATAATTTAAAAGAATTGTGCCAACTGTTTCGTCTACAGTAAAGGCATTGCTCTATCTGAACAGCAGCTGTAGTACAGATGCTCCCACCTTATTCTTCCTAAACAACAGTTAAGAAAAAGCACAGCCCCGACAGACACAGGAATAAAATATTTCAATTAAAGGCTAGTATTGTGATTTTAGTCAGTTTAGAAGACAGCTGGATTCCTGGATGCCAAGCATTTATCGCAAAAATTATAAATACACTTTTCCCAATGAATACACATAAGTGGCTTGTGAACTGCTGAGGCTAGAACTTCTAACCATTTAAGCACAGCTTCACAAGCAATACTGCCATCTTTGTATTTCATTTGCATAGCTTTACATATATCTTTTCCTAGAAAAGCCCAATCCATTTTATATTTTCAGATGTTTTAGTAACATTTTTCCTTTAGGATGTGATCTAATTAAAAAAACATGGTTAGTTGAGTCACAAAAGTCAGTCTTGCATACACAGTAAAAACCAGTATTGGGGGACCCACACAAGTTTTCCAGCTTAGCTTAAAAAAAAATTTAAAAATTAATAATTTGGCTTTGCTAGTATAGATGGAACTAAACCATGATTTAATTCTCCTTCATAGTATTCTGTACTACTTTGTTGAGTGCTGAGCTGTAGCAAAATTTGGCCCACTTGACCTATATATAATTGTATTTTTAAAATAATTTTTATCACATAGTTCAGATTTTACCAGAAAAATCCTGTAGCATAATTTTTTGGGAAGAAGAGAAGCCCTAGTATGAGACTGAATGGAAATTGTAAATTTGCCTCTCACCCCTTTTGGGTGAGAAAACGTTAGAGTGTAAGTTTGGGAGTAACAACATAGGAACAGCAGTTGAACAGTACCTTCAAAAACAGGCCAGTATCTACAGAGGTAAAGACTATCCATTAAGGAATATGTAAATGCAGCTTTTCAGGAAAGTAAGAAGTCTGAGAAACAACATGATGTAAGCCCTAGGTCCTACAAAAATTCAAATCATTATTCAGCAATGCTTTTGATATAAAACCAATTCTCACAGATATTCCTGTTTTACTAGTTGCAAAGAGCCAGAAATAAGACAGCTTCATATTCTTTTGACATGGGAAGATTTTCTATCTTTCCCAGATTTATGAAAACTATAATGAAACTATTATTTTCTTCTCCTTGCCTAGCAGGCCACAGCTTTTAACTTCCTCAATTCTTCTGGGGACATTTAGGAAGGATACAAAGCTAATGATGGCCTCTGAGCTGAAAATTGACCAATGTATGAGAAGGTGGTTCAAGGCAGAGACATTATCTTCTCTGTAGTTGTACCTAAGTAGACAGTAATATCCTCACACATCCTAAGGTTTAGGGACCTTAACGGTGAGCATAATACATGCAGATTTAAACTGAAAACAGACCACAAACTCTTCTCCTGAAAGGAAGCTTTTGGCAGAAACTCTGCAAGGTTAGACTCTTGGACTTCCTTGAATCCTCTCCCTTTTTGCTCTTCTGTAGTTGTTCCCCCCTGCTTCTACAAAGAGGGGATGATTAAATTCTAAATGAGAAACTACATGCTTCAATATCTCTTAGCTGGTTTGGCAATATTAATGTTAAAAGCCACAATTTCAAGCTAGAAAAAGCACATTAATGCCATAGCCTTGACCTCTTCTGGTTTTGGGCCAGTTCATATTGAAGGAGGACAGCACATTTTTAAGGTAGCATAGATTATTTACCTTTTTAAACTCCAGAAGCTTTACTGATGATGCCACTGTGACACAGACATGACAAGATCTGCAACTTAGATTATCTCAAATTCATTTCTGGAAAAAAAATGATGGTGCTACAGCACTGCAACATACCTGGAATCATTATTTTTTGTGTGTGTGTGTATATATATATAGACAGAAATGTATCATAAACTCTTCAAAACTGATTTTAAGCACGTGGAAATGAAACACCTCACTATGCTCTTAAGTATAACACCAGACTGAAGAAATACAAACATGAGACCAGGTAAATAAACAAGCCTAATAGAAGACAACAAAAGCAGAAGATACAAACACTGAATAAATAGCAAAGCTACTGAAAAAATGGCAGAATTAGAGATAAGCTTAGATTATTGTTTCAATAAAGATAGGACAATCAGGATTACTAATACTGGCTAAAGCTTCATCCCTGAGCTAGGCAGCAAATTTACAATGAGGAGGCTCAGCCAGCTGCACTATCATCCTGCCTTGTAGTTCAGGCTCACTTATACCTAAGAACTCTTAGATACATTTGTCAAAGGAGATCAGTGGAAGAATGTACCCGTAATTTCCAAAATCTGTGAAAGTCTCTTGAGCCAGATTCAAAAAAAAGAAAGATGCCTGGGTAAAGTGATGAGATTTTAGTTGAAAATTGGCACCACATGTATGTGATTTTCTTTCCATCTCTGTAAGTCACTATGATATAATATTTTGAACACGACAAGCTCCTACTGTGATAAATTTATGATTTAGCAACAACTGCAGGAGAAATGGAAAATATAAGCAAAAGGAATTCTTCATAGAATCCCTTCTGCGCCTACTGCGCATCACAGCAAACTGTTTTGTTTTTTTTTTCCTGCAGTAGTGGAAAAGGTGAATGAGTTAAGACAAGGCATGCAGAAAAGGTGAATCAGTTAAGACAAGGCAGGTGTCAGGTTTAAGGTCCATGTGGTCACAATGGCTTACACAGCCATGCCTGGGCAGAGTTGTATAAGGGGAAGGATTCCTTCTCAACCTCCTGGGTCCCTTTGTCTGTCATGCTACTCAGCGTTCATTTCTTTCTAGAAGAATTTCTATAAACCCATTTTTTTCTTGGTTTAATGGCTGTCCTCACAGCTCCAACATTCTGCAAAGATTTAACTAGACAGTATTCAATAGCTGTAGAAGATTTGTGGCATGTCTCTGTTTTGGAGGAAGACAATGGGCTAGCAACGCTACTGAAGGCAGAACTGGTATTCAGTTATAAAGATGACTACACTGTACTGTCTCATAGGTCAAGTGGGGCAAAGAGAAGAAAATATTTTCATGAGTTGAAAAAATTATGTTATTGTGTGTATGATCTTTCTGTGCTTCACAGTGATCTAATCAAAAGTATTCACAATAAAAGTCACAGGCAGTGGCTTACACCGTGAACTCGGCTGGCAGAGCTTACACATACCTCTTCCATAATCCTTGCACAAAACTTCTTTCTGACTCTACTTTTAGTAGAGGTTTGTGGGGTTTTTCAATACCTTCACTTACAACAAATATCCTGAGGCAAATCTTCTGAGGAAGCAGAACAGAGCAAACTGTAGGCTTTCCTTTAGTACCTCCAAGAATGATATATTCACTACTCTGTTTTTCATGACACCCTACTTCTGCGCTGAATCCAGTATGTTTTCATAAGTGTATCTACACAGAATCTCATCAGATCTGAAGATTCTACCTTAAAATTACATTCTCTTCCCAAAGACAACAGATTATCTCAGGCAATTTCATGTTTTCAAATGATAACCGTGATGCACAAGGAGTACTTTGGAATGAAAATCTATCTTCTCAAATCAAAGCAGATGAATTTTTAAACAGCAAATAGATTCAACATTTTAAATTCTCAGATGACCAACTCCCTCTCTTTTTTCTTAATTAAATGCTGACAGAAAAAAAAGGAAAGAAGCAGAAGGAAATTACTTATTTCCTAAAACAGGTGTCTCCCAGTTATT